AGTAAGGAGGCATGGAATTCAGGGAAATGTGGTTGTCTGGATACAAAACTGGCTTTCCAATAGAAGACAGAAGGTGGTAGTGGATGGAAAGTATTCAGCCTAGAACTTGGTGACCAGTGGTGTGCCGCAGGGATCTGTTCTGGGACCTCTGCTGTTTGTGATCTTTATAAATGACTTGGATGAGGAAGTGGAAAGGTGGGTTAGTAAGTTTGCCGGTGACACGAAGGTTGGAGTGTGGACAGCATGGAGGGCTGTTGTAGGTTGCAATGCAACATTGTAAGGATGCAGAGCAATGCAAAGAAGTGGCAGATGGAATTCAATCCAGAAAAGTGTGAAGTGATTCATTTTGGAAGGTCGAATTTGAATGCAGAATACAGGGTTAATGGCAGGATTCTTGGCAGTGTGGAGGAACAAAGGGATCTTGGGATCCACGTCCATAGATCCCTCGAAGTTGCCACCCAAGTTGATAGGATTGTAAAGAAGGTGTATGGTGTGTTGGCTTTCATTGGTGGGGGAATTGAGTTTAAGAGCCGTGAGGTTATGCTGCAGCTCTATAAAACTCTGGTTAGACCACACTTGGTATATTGTGTTCAATTCTGGTCACCTCATTACAGGAAGGATTGGAAGCTTTAGAGAGGGTGCAGAGGAGATTTATCAGAATGCTGCCTGGAATGGAGGGCAGGTCTTATGAGGAATGGTTGAGGGAGCTAGGGCTTTTCTTATTGGACCAAAGAAGGGTGAGAGGTGACTTGATAGAGGTATACAAGATGAAAAGAGGCATAGATAGAGTGGATAGTCAGAGACTTTTTCCCAGGGCGGAAATGACTATTACGAGGGGGCATAATTTTAAGGTGATTGGAGGAAGGTATAGGGGAGATGTCAGAGGTAGATTCTTCACACAGAGAGTGGTGGGTGTGTGGAATGCACTGCTGGTGGTAGTAGTGGAGTCAGATACATTAGGGACATTTAAGTGACTCTTAGATAGGCACATGGATGATAGTGAAATGTAGGGTATGCAGACTAGTTTGACCTTAGAGTTGGATAATAGGTCGGCACAACATTGTGGGCCTAAGAGCCTGTACTGTGCTGTACTGTTCTATGTTCTATGTTCATAAGACAATCCCTCCACACCAGGGATCTTCCTACTGAACCTTCTCTGAACGGCCTCCAATGAAATTATATCTTTCCTTAAATAATGGGACCAAAACTGCTCACAGTATTCCAGACAACAAGGTGCAGAGCTGGATGAACACAGCAGGCCAAGCAGCATCATAGGAGCAGAAAGGCTGACGTTTCGGGCCTAGACCCTTCATCAGAAAAGGGGGACGGGAAGGGGGTTCTGAAATAAATAGGGAGCGAGTGGGAGGTGGATAGAAGATGGATAGAGGAGAGGATAGGTGGAGAGGAAACAAACAGGTCGAAGAGGCGGGGATGGGACCAGTAAAGGTGAGTGTAGGTGGGGAGTCAGGGAGGGGATAGGTCAGTCCAGGGAGGACGGACAGGTCAAGGGGGCGGGATGAGGTTAGTCGGTAGGAGATGGAGGTGCGGCTTGAGGTGGGAGGAGGGGATAGGTGGGAGGAAGAACAGGTTAGGGAGGCGGGGACGAGCTGGACTGGTTTTGGGATGATTTTGGGGAGTTTTTGAAGCTTGTGAAATCCACATTGATACCATTGGGCTGCAGGGTTCCCAAGCGGAATATGAGTTGCTGTTCCTGCAGCCTTCGGGTGGCATCATTGTGGCACTGCAGGAGGCCCAGGATGGACATGTCGTCTGAGGAATGGGAGGGGGATGTTGAAATGGTTCGCGACTGGGAGGTGCAGTTGTTTATTGCGAACCGAGCGTAGGTGTTCTGCAAAGCGGTCCCCGAGTC